GTAAGACAAATGGGCTCTTGGCCCTGGAGGTAGGACCACCACAATGTGAAAAACTCAAGGCTTCAAAAGTGGCTGAGAGTCTAACAGGGTGTGAGGGAGGAATCATACAACTACAGCTTCAATGCCACGAGGCTACAAAATGCCAAGATGACAAGGTCATTAGCACCTCCTCCCCTCTCCCTTCACCCCCCACCCCCACCCCGACCCCAACTGCAAGGGTGTCCAGCATCCTACTTCTAAACTTCTTTAATTGTGTGTGGGAGCAGGAGGGAGTTTCATTTGAGGGTTTCCTTTCTACTATATCTCTCCCTCTTTCCTCCCTTACTACCTTAGGAGCAGAGATGTTAGGCTGCAAGGGGAGGTCCTCAGGCAGTATTTCCTACAGGGATTGACTGTTTTTCCTCTTGGAATGCTCTTCCTCCTCCTCTCCTTTTCCCCCCTTTTGCCTCAAGACTCAGCTCAAATCCGCTTTCTCTAAGAATCCTTTCCTAGTCCCACCCTCCCCCCACATCTGCTAGTGCTTACTTCTTTGAGATTTCCTTCCATCTATTCTCTATCTCATATGTACCTAGTTATTTTCATGTCTGTCTCTCCCATTAGCATGTGAGCTCCTGGGGAATAGGGACTATTTCTACCTTTCTTTGTATTCTCGGAGCTTAGCTCGTACCTGGAACATCATAAGCGTTTAATAAATGACGCCCCTTCTTCCTCCTCTTTCCCCCCAAATCACTTAGTGCCTCTCCTGGCCCACTGTACAGCCATGACTCACTTAAAACCCTATTCCCAGGCCTATCTTCTCTCCAGCCACCTTGGAATGATCAAATCATCTCTGTAATTGCTCCTTGAAAGGGTATGTGAATCTACTTCTTTGTGGCCTAATGTACCATTCCTGTAACTTTCCACTTCCCCATATGCTGTCTTCCCCTATTAGAACATTACCTCCTTCAGGGCATGGGTTGGCTTGTGTTAGCTTGTGTTTTTGAATCCACTGAACTTAGCACAGTAACTGTAAGAGTAAGTGCTCAGTAAATGCTTTTTCATTCATTCATTTGTGTGTATAAGGTGCTTTGTAACATTTAAATGTCTCCACTGGTTAGAATGTCAGAGTGAATCTAATAAGATGAAATTTAACAGGTATAACTGCAAAGTCCTGTACGAAGATTCAAAATAGTCAACTTCATCCTAGATACCAGATTGGGGGAGGGATAGCTAGATATCAGTTTGTCTGAAAAAATGTTTTGAAGCGTAGTGGACCTTAATCTTAATATGAGTTAACAGTGTGATGTGATAGCAGTCCTCCTCCCCTCCCCCCCAAGTCCCCCTCTCCTAACAACAATAAACTAATGAAGTCTTAGGCTGTTAATAGAAGCCGAATATCCAGTTATCAATAATTTACCTTTTTTCTGATTGCTACATAGTCTACGATCATAGGTCTAGAGTGGGAAGGGACCTCAGAAACCATTGAGTCTAAGCCCCTCATTTTGTGAGAAACTGAGACCAAAAGGATTGATTTGCCCAGGGTCACACAGCTACAGTGCAGAGGTGAAATTTGAAGTCAGATCTTCATGAGTCCAAGTCTAGCACTCCACTCACTGTGCTCATTTTCTTTTCTAGAAAATGTCAATAACCGAGGCTGACTTCCACTTACTTTGGAAACTCCGTAAGTTCCAAACTCATACAAACAATATAATATATTAAAGGTCTATTTTCAGTCTCCAAAGCATTCACAGACTTCCTCTAGGCCCAGGTCAGTCTTAAAATCATTAAAATCATCTAGTTCATCCCTTTTATTTTATTGGTAAGATCACAGAAGCCAAGAGAAGCTAAATAACTAGTGTGAGCTCACACTAGCAGCCTACTCTCCAGAACAAAGAAGGTGATAGTACTGTGATATACTCTGCCCTGTCAGGCATCGTCCAGAGAGTCGTGTTCATTGCTGGGAGACACGTTTTAGGAAGCTAAGTGGGAAACCCTTTAGAAGAAGATATTTAGGATGGTGAAAGGCTTCCAATCATATGAGAAGCTGGGTCAATTAGCCCTCCAAAAGAGGAGAACTGGTATCTGCCTTTAAGCATTTGAAGGGTAGTCACCAGGCAGAGAGATCAGATTGGTCCTACCTGGCTCTCGATGACAGAAGTAAGAGCAATGGGTAGATCAGGTAGGCAGGTTTCACTTTGAGATAAGAAAACCTGACAATGAGAGAAATCTAAAAGTGGAATAGGCATCCTGAAAAGTCATGCTATCCTATGCCAGGTATGTTATAGAGGAATGAATGAATTTTTAAAAAGGTATTTATTTAGTGTTTATTATGGGCCAAGCATTGGGCTAAGTACTAAGGATATGGTGAGAAAAATTGAGACATTTCCTACTCTTCAGGAACTCAGAGCCTCACTGGGGGAGATAACACGTAAAAGAAAGTATAGCTTTAGGGCAGAGAGAAAGGTCAGGAAGTCTAAAAGGTAGAGCAGTGGGATAGAAAGCAAGGCACATAGAAGGCAAGGTTATAGAAGTTGGTCAGATGATTTTTGGGGAGGATTTCAGGGAGCAGAGGCAGGGCAGATGGTAAGACCTGGTGGTCCTCCAACTCATTGGAAGGAATAGAGTTGGTGACTTCCATACATCCAAGTTCTGTGAGCAGTTAAGCAGTCTGAGCCTAGGGGTAGGCTAAAGGGGGTAGGCAACCCTAGTATTGCAAGTTTTCTTGCCACCCAAAGTCTTGGATGGGTTCTGCATTGCTAGGGCCAGGGGAAGGGTTGACAGGCGAAAGAAAATGAGGTAGGGCACTCCAGTGGGGGAAGACTCTTATTCAAAACTGGTTGTTGTCTGAGGCCTCTCCTAATGCAGAGTCTTTTGATTTTATGAAATATAAACTGTTATTTTATTGCTTCCTGGGTATAGAAGATAGAGTGCTGGTCATGGAGTCAATAAGAACTGTGCTTGAATCTTGTGTCTTGCAGTATTACTCTAGACAAGTCACTTAACTTCTCTCTCCTCAGTTTCCTTGTGATCTTGTGCTCACTTGTGCTTAAAGTGAGGGGGTTAGATCTGAAGACCTTTAAGGTCCCTCTCAGCTCTGAATCTAGGATCTTACTATTCATGACCTGTCCTTGTGTCAGGTGGCCAACCTACTACAAAAATAAGGAACTATCTCTTAGAATGTCTTCACTCATTGAAATCCTATTCACGAGCAAGTCAAGACATCACCCTTGGGATTGGGGTGTGTCATGGGTCCTCTTCAAGAATAAAGGATCAGGGGCAGCTAGGTGGCACAGTGGATAGAGCACCGGGCCTGAAGTCAGGAGGACCTGAATTCAAATCCGGCCTCAGACCAAACACTTGACACTTACTAGCTGTGTGACCCCGGGCAAGTCACTTAACCCCAATTGCCTAAAAGCAAAAAAATGAACAAAAAAAAAGAATAAAGGATCAACAACAACAATAAGGAAGCCCAGGGGATATTATTTTAGTATGGATACTAGAAAAAGTAGATGGATATTATTTTATGGTCCTTCCTTTTTTCCTTTCATAGACCCAAGACTAAATAGGTGAAATCTGCTACTCTGACAGGAGCAAGGATTCTCTTGTTTCTTTGGGATATGGAGGGGCGGTGACTGACAAGGACCAGAAGAGTCCTCCTCCTACGGCCATACACATGACTAATAGTGTATTCCCAAATTTGAACATACCAGCCCAGTCTGTGGAGGATTTTCAGAGGGGCCAGGTTTGTGTCTCCAGTCTCTAATGGACTCAGCTCTACTGGAGGTCTCTTGAAATCCCCTCTCTCATCCTACCCCACCCATCTTCCCATGTGGGGTGGGTTATTGTAGCTTCTTAAAGAAGGGTCTCTCCTGTGGGGAGTTAATTGGAAATGTTACACTTGAAGAGGGAAAACAAGAGTAATAGAAAAGGCATCTGTGTATGATGGAGGCCTAAACTGGAAACAGGCTTCCACCATTCCCCTAGCCTGGGAAAGGAAGGAGGATAGGCTGACAAGGAGAAAGGATGGATATGTACTCATCTGGATATAGAATGATTGTCGAAGACTGTCTATGTGTCTGCTAAGTGTTAAGGGGAGGATATTTGGGGAGGTTAATTCTCTTTCTCCTTTCTTCTTCCAGGTAACTAGGTAACATGGGACTTCCTCAAGCGTCAATCAGACATTTTTCCAGTGGTCTGGTTGTCTGATTTTCCCCAGAGAAAAAAGGGGAGTATTTTTTATCATCTCTTGGAAACTCTGCTTAGTGATTAGGAACACTCAAAAGGACTGAGATCTCATAGATATGGATGTTCCCTCCGATCAGTCAATCAATTAATCAACAAACATTTACTAAGGCCCTACTATGTGCTAGGAACTATTCTAAATGTTGGATATAGGAAAACAAAGACTGAAATAATCCCTTTCTTCAAAGAGCTCACATTGACTGCCCACCCTATGTGACTTGTGTATGCCCTCCCATAAGTTTTCTAAAGACAGGCGTTCTGAACCACTTTTTGTCTTGTAGTTTTGTGTCTTCTGTCAGTCTTGTGAAGCCTATGGACCCCTCCGCAGAATGCTATTGTTATTGACAGAAATGCTGAATTTCAGTTAGAGGTTAGTGAAAATGAAGAAACTGTTTTTCCCATCCAAGTTCACAGACCTCCTGAAAACTACGCACAGACACTTTGGGGATCTTTGAACCATGCTAAAAATCTCTTGGGCAGCTAGAGGACCTGAGTTCAAATCTGTCCTCAGACACTAGCTGTGTGACCGTGGGCAAGTCACTTAACCCAAATTGCCTCAAAACAAATAAACAAAAAACCCCCAAGCCCCCAAACCTCTGTTCTAGGAGGTCTACCCAATGTGCTGGGTGCCTTCCTTGCTTTCTCTTGACATCAAGAGAATATCAGTGGAACACAATAATGTCCATTGGTTAGGAATAACAGGATGAATGAACAAATCAAGCATTTATTAAGTGAGCTAAGAGCTGGGGCTGTGAATAGAAAAGTAAGACAGTCTCTGCTCTCAAGGAGCTCACATTCTAGTGGGGAGCAGCAACACATATGGAAGGTTTCAGCGGCAAGCCACGGTCATTAGGGTACAGTAGCAGAGTCAGTGGTAATGCCTCTTCTTCAATAGCATTTCCACTGATAAAAAAATGGAAGTCGTGCCAAGGACTTTGGTAGCAATAACTTGGTCGGATCTTTAGTAGCTGTGACTGCAGGATCTGCAGGCACAGTTGCCAGGCCGCATCTCCCCAGGGTTGCTTCCCAGGATGATGGCTAGAATGAAAGTATTGGCATTCTCAGGGCTCCTGGGTTCAGGATCCTGGACTGTTCCCATTGGTTGTGAGGGGATTTGTTGGTCAAAGTGGTGATAGTGGTTTGACTTACCTGGCACATGCCAACTCCTTTTTCTTCCCCAGCGTGTCCAGTTTCTTCAGCTAAGCTGGCTTATCTGCCTTTTGGGTTGTTTGGCCATTTGTGAGGATGGCTGGTCCGTTCTCCATAGGAGTTCCTTCACTAGAAAATGGCTGTGAGGGCTGGGATGGAAGCAGGACTGGTGGTCTGGAAGGTGCTGTCACTCTCAGGGTTCTTGGGCTGATGTGCCTGTTGGTGGTAGGTCAGCAGTTGTTGCTGGTGGTGATGAGGAATGTGAGCCCCTTCTCCCCTAAGTGATGTTTGAGGGGGCTGGGCCAGGAGCTGGGACCACTATTCCCAAGGCTCTTGGGTTTTGGGTCCTGGACTGTCCCCACTGGGGTCTAAGAAGGGATAGTGATCAAGGCAATAAAGGTAATTTGACTTGCCTGACACATGCTGCCTCGTGACTCTCCCTTAGGACGCCCCACCGCTTCAGCTAGGCTGGCTTGCCTACCTCATGAGGGGCAGTTGGTAGGGGTAGATGACCACTTCTATACAGGAATTGCTTCCCTAGAAGGGAAATAGTAGGAGGCTAAAAAGCTGGCTTTATGGCAATCATTCCAAATTAATGCCAGGATTGTTTTGATGTTTGCTCATTTTAAGAAATGCCCTTATTTTTTGAATACTCTCATTTTAGAAAATCTTTTGAATCCCTAAAGTATTAAAAAGCAGAGTGAAAGATATTTCATAAGATAGATATGGAAAAGGTGATCAATGATAGTCTTTGGGCAGCATTGCTACCCTTAAAGGACCTAGAGGAAAGAAAGCCCTCAGTACTTTTGATGGATGCCCTATTGAGGATTTATGTGAGAGCATGGGCAATGGTTGCATAGAATGAGAAGTCATGGATAGGTTGAACTGTGTATCATTGGAAGGAACAGGCACACTAAGGAGGGGGGTGGTTAGAAAGAGAACAAGTATTATTAAGTACTTACTATGTGCCA